TTTAGATGACTTCAGACAGTGCCACAGATAGTGTCGCAGGAAAGAGAGAAAGGAGGCCTCTAATTGGTCAGTTCTACATCAGCTCTACACTAGGTGTATTTCCTTTTTGGTGCCTAATGGCAGAAACTCAGCCTGTGGTGCCATCCACAACACCTGGCACCCCTCAGACACTATGCCAGACACAGTACAGGATGCTAGTTTTTGGCTCTGTGCGACAGTTTGTTGCTTTGCACCCGAATCCAAAACATGCAGCCCCAAGGCCAATCTTTCAGAAACACTCACGGGTAAACTGTGTGTTGTCTGGTGTTGGATGAGATGTTCTAGATGCGAACCAGCTTCTCGAACCGAGACACGGACACCCACAATCCTAGCTAGTTCATGATTGTCCCTCTTGAGTTGTGGTGCGGAATAACATAGTGCAGAACAAGCTTCAAAATTGCTACGGGAGTATACACAGCCCTTAATCCCTTGCTGGAAGCTGCGTGGCCTGTGTCTTCCTGCAGCTGCGTGTCTGCTGACACCATCCTGCTGGGTTAGCTTTGATGCTGTCACCAGTGAGACAGAAATCAGGAAAGTAAACAGTGGAGAGCAACATGTAAGGAAACCAGTATGTAGTAAGTGTGCTTTATTTTTCACTCTTTTGTCCCTCTGAATCCCTCTCACCAGTGCTGTGCCATGCTTAAGTATTATGTAAATAAGCGGGTCAATTCGGCTCTGGTGTTCCCACAGCATGCCGATCAGAGCCAAGGTGACTTTAACGCAGGTTGCTTGCAAAAGTCGTTTGACCAAGGTAGACACTACTCAATGAGCTGTTCTCACTGCCACTAAAAGCCGATTGTTCCTGGTTTTAAATTAGTTTTTCGGCCATTTTGAAAGGGGTACATGAATTACTTAAGAGCTTATTTCCAAACTACATTACAGACTTGTTTTTTGATGTGTTTTAAGATCTTCTGGATCTCATCTAATTTGCATATACCTAGATGAAGAACCAAACAAAGAGAAGCATTGGTTAGTTCTAAAACTCCACAACTCTGAATAATCTCCCAGAAAGCTGTAAAAGCACTGAAATTCTCAGGCGCTTTAAATAGGCATTTTGTTTAGAATGGCCTTTTACTAATATTATGACTTAAGTTTCCAATCCAACTTTGGTTATAATTACTTAATTCCTTATCTTATTATTGCTTATCTTATTCTTGCTACTTAAAAGTACTTGTAAAAATAAACTTGACCTGCCTTTTGACAAAGTAACAAGTGGTCATACTGGCTGTGTAACATTTTGTCTGCACCTCATATGTGCTTACTTACTTACTCACCCATGAAACGCATGCTTGTCTTGGTTTCATTTTAAAATCTTTATAAAAACAAAGCCTTCTTTGTCTCTATTTAACCTTTAGTTTGTATTTTTTTATAGTATCATGAAAACAAAAACAACTGAAAATCCGTGTACTCATATAGAAATTATTTTTTCAATTCAAATCAGTGTATTTATACAGGGTTGGTTAACAGCACATGTCCCCTTGAGACAGTTTACGGAGACAAATGAAAGTTTAAAAAGTGTTAAAGGAAAGTGGTGAAATAGTCTCGCAGGGAAAGAAGAGCTGATTGCATCAAGTCAGTGACATGCAGGATTCGCCTTGCGTGGTTGAACATGAGGTGAAACTAAATAGTCACTTGTATTTTGTTTTGGACTCTACAACAATCACTCACACCAAGCATGCATAATATGACAGTGGAAAGGAAAAACTCTCCTTTAACTGGAGGAAACCTTCAGCAGAACCTGGCTCCGTGTGAGTGGCCTTCTGAAAAAGCTGACTGGGTTTTTAAGGAGAGAGACACAGACATACAAAAGGAACATAGAAGCACTTATCCATAAATACTTTCTGTGTTAGAAAAGGTAATGGTAAACAAGCTTCACATAGGGCAAAGAAACAGTCAAGATGAGCTCTGATCCATTTTTATGTAAAAGGGATGAAAGAAAGCACATACAGTTGGTCACAGTAAAAGTTGGGTCCATCGAAGAGAAATAGGGCTAAACCCAAAGATAATTTCGGAAATGTTCTTATCTATTATCCAAGGTGTTCATGGAATTATAATATTTTTCTTCAAGATGGTCACAACCAAACACAAACAAACTAGGTCAAGCTGCAATGATGATGACAAAAAGCAGCGACAACATAAAGTCAGGGAGTGAAACAACAAATGCTGTACCTTAGGAGAGAGATATTGAGATAAATAAAACAGATGAAAAGTGGTCCCTATGTCCTCCTGCTGCCTAAGCCTATAATGACATAACTGTAGAGATAGTTCAAGATAACTCTTTTCCCCAGCATTTCATTGTCATTACATTGTCACAAGTACAGAGCAACAAAATTAACTCTCTGTATTTAACCCATGCAGAGAGTTAATTGTACAGAGAAGGGAGCAGTGTGGGGTTCAAGGGTGTTGCTCAGGGAGCCAGAGGGGCTTGAACTCAGAACCTCAAGATTCCAAGCACAATGCCCTAACAATAGGCTGCCACTCCCTGAAGCACCACTGAGGCACTCTAACTTTAAGACTTATGAAGACTTATCAAAAGTGAAAGTTTTAAGCCTGGATCTAAAAATAGACAAGGTATCTGCTCCAGGGACTAAAACTGGTCGTTTGTTCCACAGAACAGGAGCCTTATATCTAAAAGATCGGCCTCCCATTCTACTGTTAGAAACTCAACACTGTAAAAAGAAAAAAAGAAAGTGCCTTTAAAACATAAAAAGC